CCAGATCCCAAAAACACCCACATTGTTGTCAGCTGGATGATCGCTCAGTCTGTGACTGCTGTTGCTGGTCTTGCATCCTACCCCTTCGATACAGTCCGTCGTCGTATGATGATGCAGTCTGGACGCAAAGGAGGTCAGTTACCGCTTTTAAGATGTTTCCGATACAAGTTGACAAGTTAAAGCAGTGAATTGATCACTTTTCTTTTGTTGCAGCCGACATCATGTACAGTGGCACAATTGACTGCTGGAAGAAGATCGCACGTGATGAGGGCGGCAAGGCTTTCTTCAAGGGAGCCTGGTCCAATGTTCTCAGAGGCATGGGTGGTGCCTTTGTGCTGGTCTTGTATGATGAGCTGAAGAAGGTCATTTAAGCGTTTCTGTCCACCATTCAATGTGAGATGTTTAACTGTAACACATCTTGGACATTTGGAAGGACTCTCAAATTCTGCCTTATTTATAGGGACCAACTAGTACGTCTGTACTAGTTGAACTGGGGGAAATTGTTTTTGGAGTTTTCTTTTGCCCCGTTTATCTTATTTTTTCTTTTTGTTCCCCTCACCATACTGTCATTCCCAGAAAGAAAGAATGCCAGGTACTAAAATCTACCTGTTTTCCAGCTGGTCTGTTTTTAGTCAATGCATCAATAAAGACCCACTGAATGAACCTACACCATAACTTCCTGTGGTGTCGTTTGTTTTTGTTTGTTTGTTTGTTTCTACCTTTTATATCTTGCGTTACAGGTGCTGTGATTCAGCCATTTGGATGGCTTCCGCCCTGTTCCTAAATTCTAACAAACTCCGTCCCCACCCTTTAAAAATATGTCCGCAAACTGAACTAGCAGAATGATTCACAGGCATGGAGCCTTTTTTTTGCAGCTTTGAGAGTCTTGGTTTGTCAGAAATTGGTGTGATTTTTCTAAGGCAGTCAGGGTACCATTTTTTACATGGTATTAAAACAAATCAAGTCACCTTTATTTATATAGCACTTTATACAATACAGACTTGTCAAAGCAGCTTTACAGTGTTAAACAGGAAAAAAATGTGTGCTGATAATGCAAGAGGACAATAAAAAGTCAGTTTCAGTTAAAGTCTGATCAAATCATTTTCACCTTCAAACTGCACCGCAGAGAGTTGTCACTTGGAAATGTCTAAGTGTTTATTCAGATGCTAGACTTCTCACATGCCTTTAAGCATGTTCCTGAGTGTCAGGCAGCATTTATTTTCTTAAGATGCAACCTCATACCCTGTTGGCCTTCCAGAGTTGTGCTCGAGTCTGAGCCAAAGACAGCTGAGAGGACACTTGTGCCCCTCAATGTAATCTATTCCTGCAAGACTTATGATTTGTTTTGGAGCTCTACATGTTTCTGTATACTTAAATCTCATCTCAAAATTTGTATGAATTTGTGCATCTGCATTTTTTACAATTGTGGTGATTTAAATATTCCTTACTCAAGTCCTCGCAGACTGAAGAGTCAAAAATTTGCCAAACCAGTTGAGCTTAAAGCCAATAGAGGAATCCCATGAAAGATATTGAAGGGAAAAATGTCTTAAAGCTTGTGCTTCTGTCCATAGGTTGCAGGTGATCTGATAACATTTGAGGCATTAATGAAACTGACGGTTTATAACGGCTGCAAGGCTAATGGCTCTTTTCCAGTGTAATCCAGTATGTTGGAAAAGGCAGCTTGTGTGTGACCTCTTAGCCGACATCAAGCTAGTCGTAAATTAGCACACCAATCCGTCCTTGCACCCACTGGCAGACGAGCCACCAGCACTTTTTTATGTTCTACATTTCATGTATTTATGTAACACATATTCTACATTAAAAAATTAATTTAGAATGAACAGTAACTGCTGTACAAAACATACCTAATGCAGAAAAGCTGCCTCTTTTTCCGAATTGCGCAGATGACCACTATTTTTCTTTCATCTCTTCTGATAAATTTTCAGTCAAATCGTTTTCTGTGTGCTAGATCAGAGCTAGAGCCCTGCATTTCAGCCGACTGCATTTCGATTTTAATTGTGTTCAGCATGGTGGGCCGCATTTGAATTCGTGACGGGCCGCGGGTTGAGAACCACTGGTTTAGAAGCTAGCCAAAACCAGCAAATGTCAACACGTCATTCACTACAACCTGCGATCCCGTCCGCGCCGTGTGTTCCTCTAACGAACACCCACTTCGGTGGTGGTGCGGGGTGTCCAGGCGCTTTCTGAAACTCTTATCGGCTTGCTTTTATTTGAATAAATAAGCTATGCTTTGGCCGACGTTGAGTGTATTTTTTTAACGACCGCCTAAAATGAAATGATGATAACGCGAGGCAAGTGTGCGGCAAGCGGAATTCATTGAGGGATTTGACAGTGTGATTCATAGATTAAGTATTTCAAATATAGGCTATTATATATGCTACACGCACGCACAGAGGGTTTTTTTTACCATCTTTTTGGGGGTTTCTTGCTTTTAGACTAGTCGACTAGTCGGATACAAAACTTTCGTTTAAACGTCAGTCAAATTAGTCGTCGCGCACATCCCTAGTGGTGATACAACCCTGAGCTACTTAAAAAAAAAAAAAAAAAAGTGTTCGGTTTCATAATATACTTTGTGTGTTATGAAGACCTTTTGATTGCTTGACACCATACTATCACAGCTATACATGTATCAGGATTAATAAATAATTTGGGATTAATTTAGTTTAATTAGCAATGTAAGTATCACGAGTAATAAACAATGATATGAATTGTGCACATCTTATGAATTTGCCAGTTGTCCTGCTAACTCTTTTGTCACTCACTGCTCAGTGAGAAATATCCCAAATTCAGTAGGACAAATTAAAACATTTCTCTCATGGATCGCGTGATATGCGTAAACAGGATGAGCCGATTATGGACTTGAACGTGACGTAATCCTGGGAAGGCGGTTCAAATTTGCGCTGGCTGGCAGCAGGTTCTACTCACAGATCACATGACTTGTACAGGTTCAGTCATAGGGTTCTATTTTTACGGGTTTAATCTCTGGCTGGCAGTGGCAGGGTGCTCTACTCCATGTGACTGCAGAGGTTTAATCATATGCCAGCTGCCTGAATGAACCTGTCCAGGAATCCGACCCTGCGTCCCAATTTTCATACTATCCATCCTAAATAGTATGTGAGATTACAATAAGTGTATCCAAAATCATAATATGTTGAAAAGAGTATGCCAGAAGTCCCCGGATGGTCTACTATTTCAGGTAGATTTTTGAAGTGTGGATCCGTGCACACTCTAATGGCTAATATTACCCACAAGCTATTGCGCTTTGACAAATGATTCGGTTCAGAACTACAAAAACGAATAAAAACTACAAACATGGCGGCTGCGCGCGACCGACGGTTAAGTAGAGAGGTTTAGATAAAGGGGTTTGAGTTACTAATAATCAACATTTAACCTGTTAAACATGTTTATTTAATATTATCTGTGTTATATTTCATCTACAACAAAAATGTGAACTTTTATAAACATCCGTTTGGCCATTAACTTTTAAATCCATCATTATGCAAAAAATATGAGTTCTCCACATAAAGACCCATGGCTGGTGCCCATCAACGTGCTACTACTTCATTTCTCTCCAATATGGTAGGAAGTTAAATTAAATGTGGAGGATATAAACTTTGAGAAGATGATTGACAGGCCAGTTTACAGTGACAGGATGCCAGCGGCCCGTTAAAGGGGTCATATGATGTTGCTAAAAAGCTTTTTATTTCATATGAATGCTGATCTTTGGATCTTTCTATTGGGTCTTTCTTGCTGTTCAAAAAATGTTGACTGGTAGTGTATGTATGTAGCCTATGCATCATACTGTCAGAATGGCCCAGCGGTCTAAGGCGCCAGACTCAAGGTTTCGACCTTCTCAGAGAAACTCCTGTTCTCTGGATGTTAGTGGGTTAGTGTTATGTCCTAACACCGTTCCTTGCACCCTTGTCCCAATATAGCAACACTGTGGCCGGACCCCTCACTGTCACCCTTCCCTCTGGTCTTCCTCTTTTAATGTCAGTCTGACTGCCATCTTGTCTGCCTCCTCTCTGTCTCACATACACTGTGACCTGGTTTCAGATGCAGATGTAAGAGCTACAGATTAGAAATATCTTTCAAATATTCTGATTTGCTGCTCAAAAAACATTTATTATTATTATTATTATTATTATTATTATTATTATGTTATAAAACAGCCGAGTTTCTTTGATTAATAGAAAGTTCAGAAGAACAGCATTTATCTCATTTATGTTTTATTAAAAAGTGTTTACGCATTCTACACTCATGGCGCGCAGCCGCGCGCACACATTAGGATAGGTTAGGATGCATTAAATTGAACAAAGGTACAAAAAAGAAAATATTAGCCAGCACAACTGTTTTCAGCATTAATAATAGTTCATGTTTCTTGAGCAGCAAATCAGCATATTAGAATGATTTCTGAAGTGTTATGTGACACTGGAGTAATGGCTGCTGAAAATTCAGCTTTGCCAGCAAATGAATAAATTAAATTTTGAAATAAATTAAAATAGAAACAGTTATTTTAAATGTTAATAATATTTTGTAATAACATTTCACAATATTACTGTCTTAACTATATTTTTGATAAAAAATAAATCCAGCCTTGGTGAGCATGAGAGACTTCTTATGAAACATTTGAACGGTGGTGTATTTATATCAATATTTCATATATTTGGATCAACAGAAATACAGCAAGATTTGAAATCTTGTCCAAATAGAGCTAAATTTAGTTGATTTACAGCATACACTACAGGTAAAAAGTTTGGAATAATTAAGATTAAAAAATGTTCATGCTGTTACCAACCCAAAACTTTTGATCAATATTTAATATATTTGGATCAATATATATACATCAAGATTTGATTTCTTATCAAAAGAGCTAAAGTTTGATGATTTACAGTAGACCTATACCGTTAGCTTCAGCACAAGGTAAATTATTGAGAATACTGCCACCCTCTGGTGAAACTATGTTTTTTCCCAGTCCCATAACCCCAGAGGAGAGGATAAGCTTGATGAAGCAGGAGCCTCAGGACATCACAGTGGACCAACAGCACAGCCAGCCTGCATCGACACAGATGAAGAGCCAAAGGAGGGCATTGTAGAAGGGCCAATAGCTACAAACGTTAGGTTTTGTAACCCTCGTGAAGAGACTGAAACCTTCAGAAATAGAGAACCAGATATGGAAGATCAGACCTTTGATGAACAGGATGTGGTTTCAGATGGACAGGAGAGTCTTGCTGAAAGTTTAGATGTCTTTGTTAATAGGTCAAAATTAGTCAGTCCTTCAGGACACTCCAATGATATCTCAAGCTCAGTCATGAACCATACTGAAGGCGTAGAGTCTGACTCAGATGACGGCTTTAGGAGTATTCAGTCTGGGGGGAAAACACAAAAAAGAAAAGTTAACTCACAAAAAGTCAAATGGATCACAAAAGTTCAAAGTAAAAGAGAAAACTGGACAGCTCAAGGAAGAGATGGCAAATCAGCCACAGGCTCAGAAAAAGGAGCCCCAGACCAACTGGGAGCAAGTTGAGGCTACCAAAGCCATATTTGAGTTACTTAAGGAAATAACTGGTATAATGTAACTTCCTTGTCCTGTTTGGCTTTTATGATCACCAAGAACTGAAACTAAAAACTGATTTTCTTAGCCATTCCATGTTTGTCTTTACCATCTTCAGGTAACTCAGTCCTCATTGACATTGTTGATGCCATTCTAAAAGCAGTCCAGCCTTTGGTAAAAAAGTAAGTATCCCATTTCATATCTATTCAAACACCAAATATATTTAACAGTATGAGGAGATAAGCATAAGCTTTCCTCCCATGCAGGAAAATAAACAACTTTTTAAAAAGGATGCATCCCACCGAAGCTCAGATTGCATCCTACATTGACAATTTCTGTGAGAATGTATGGCCAGAGGGAAATGTGCCCATCCAGCCGCCATGTGACAGTGAGGAGAAACACGCGACCAAGGAGAAGGCTTTGCAGCTTATAAATTCAAAATGTATGTGCAATATTTTCCCATGCGTTGGTAAAGACCTAGAGTCCTAGACCCTCTCATTTTTGTAATGATTCTTTCATCCTTACCAATATGCAGTAATTATTGTGGTGGTTTTAGATTCAAACTCTTTAATCCTCAAGAAGACTGATGTTGAAACTTTGTTCAAGATCTTCCAGGACACAGAGGAGAAAAAGAAACTGGTTTATGTGAGGGCTCTAGCTAAGATTGGTATGAAGTTAAAATCCATTTTGAAACGTATATCCAGATTAACATTTAAATTCTTTGTGTGTGTGTGTATGTCCATAAATGCTGCTGCCATACGTTCTAGGGGAGTTCCTACCTGGAGAGCCTGCCTTCGGTTCAATAGCTAATCTAACAGTTAAGGATTTTGTTTCCTAATAGAAAGAAGATATTTTTTATTGTAATCTGTCTAATGTTTTTTAATGTTCATGCTTTGAGAAGCATGAACACTGATATTTTTACTTAACAAAAATGCTAACCTCAGCATTTTAACAAATACACTGTAATTATGTTTCACTTCAACAATGTTACAATATCTTGGGTGTAAATTTTAAACTCATATTTGTTTTAAATATCACTATATGTAAGTTCACTTTTTGTTTTGTACCTTAAAATTGTACACTGTGAAGAACTGATTTTCTATTTTAATAAACAGCACAGGTTACTCAGGACAGAATAGATAAAGTCATTGTGATACTGATCAAAATTTTACAACAAGACTTAATCCATACTGGGTCGATCTGTGAGGAATGTATTCGAATAATAATAATGACAATAAATATATTTTATTATTAATTTCGAATCATTTAATTTCTTGCACCTTAGCAATTCGTAATATAAGCAAAAATACTATTGAGTTAACACTGTTCACACATATTTTTCGTACTCCACTTAAAGTTACAATATTAAATGTTTGCTCCTGTACTTACCACGTCTGTCAAACCCATGACGTAACTATGCTAGGCTGCTACAACTGTACGTGTTTGAAGGTGTTTCTCTAAACGTATTTAACCATATCTGTTTTTCTTATTAATCAAAATCACTCGAATTAATAAAGCCAGTCACACATATTCTCTTCTAACGATAAACCACGAATAGGTTTACAGTTGTGTGAAAGAGCTCACTTTTATTTAATCGCACAGTTGCTTCTCCCCCACTTTATGTTGGTATGGTCCAGTCCCAGAGAGACCGACTGGCGGCTTAGTAGAGAGAACAGGTAGGAGGAGGAGGATCCGAGCGAACGGCTATTCGGCTAACATCGATATTTAACCGAATCGACGAAACCGACGTCTGTTGAACTAAAAGAATTGAACCTGAATCAAAGTAACAACGTCGATACCTTATGTTTACGTCTTGGCTATCCAATTAAACCATGTCAACCCCAGCAAGACGGCGTCTGATGAGAGACTTTAAACGGTAAGCGGCACACAAAATGCTAAAGGCCCTTCCTTGGTAGCGTTTTGAACACCGGTTGCTCTCGGGCTTTAACATGGCGACTTTCGCCCCCACAATAGCCATTTATTAATGTCATTATCCCTCTCCGATCATGTATTTGGATGTCATGTGTGCGGTATTTAGTGTTGTCGTGGTGTAGGTGTAGTATATGTAATGTAACTTATCCGGTTAACTTGTTTTTCAGTCTCCAGGAGGATCCACCAGCAGGAGTTAGCGGAGCCCCGTCGGAAAACAACATCATGGTCTGGAACGCTGTCATTTTTGGGTTTGTATCATTTGCCTTTTTTTGACAGCGATGAGCAGTAAACAGAACACACTGACAATTTCGTTTGTCTCGGACTATTCGAGGTCTGTAAGATGACATCTAGCTTGTTAGCGGTAATATAAGCAGTTTTAAATAGGCCAGATGGCCAATGGTCCCCCATAAGAGGTGCTGGTTATTTGATCGTTGAAGTGACAGACAGTGTCATGAATAGAGCTGTGTGTTGTGTTGGAAACAGGTTATAATGTCATATCCGTAGACTGTGTACTTTGTTATTTTTGGATTATAGTAATGCGCAGGTCTGTTGCACATTGGCCAGTGCTTTTGGCTTTGTTTCTTGCTGTCATGCCAAGTGTTCTGTGTAACCTGACATGTTGACCCATTTCTTCTGCCTACAGTCCTGAAGGAACACCCTTTGAAGATGGTAAGTCAAGAAAACACTAGCTGTTATACGTTTATTTTGAAATATTTTTTTTTCAGTTTTATTGTGGTAATTGGAGAAATGGCTTCAAAGATTTTGGTTCATTTAAGAAAAAAAGATTTTTTGCTCACCTAGGTTGCATTTATTTGATAAATAGATACAGTTGACACAGCAAAATATTATTACTATTTATAATGACTGTTTTCTATTTTAATATATTGTAAAATGTAATTTATTTATGTGATGGCAATGCTGAATTTTCAACAGTCATTACTACAGTCAGTTACACACGATCCTGCAGATGTCATTTTCATATGCTGATTTGCTGCTCATGAAACATGTCTCTATTATCAGTGCTAACAGTTGTGCTGCTTAATATGTAGTTTTTGTTTTTTTGGATGAATATAAATAAAATAAAAAAAACAGCATTAATTTGAAGTAATTTTTTTTTGTAACAATGTATTTAGGTCTTTACAATGTGACAAAATGTGACAGTCTTTACTGCCACATTTGGTCAATTTAATGTGATCTTGCTGACTAAAAGTATCAATTTCTTTTTAATAAAAACTTACTGGCCCCAACCCTTTGTATAATGCTGTATTTTAAAAATATTACGTAAAATTATAGTACGGTACTTTTTAAAATTATTTTTATTCAAAGTGAGTAACATTATATGTCTTCACTGTTACGTTTGATCAGATTAATATGTCATAATGTAAACCTTAATGTAAACCACACTGACTGCTGAATAAGGGTTGAGCTTTGGGTTCCAAATAACGACAACCGATTAAATGTGCCACTGTATAATTGTGTACTGGTATTTGGCATGGTATGGTTCTTTTTGTTTACATGTGGAAAATGGTTTTTGCTTCATATTTTCTTTTTCTGCTTGTCATAGGAACTTTCAAACTAACAATAGAATTTACAGAAGAATATCCAAACAAACCTCCTACAGTCCGGTTTGTCTCCAAAATGTTTCACCCTAATGGTAAGTTTTACATTGATAAAATCCTATTATTGCATTTATAAAATCTTTGCATATTAGATTCCTTAAGTATAAGTGTGTACATATATCACATTGCAAGAATTAAGTGTCAGTGGACCATAAAATAGAATTGTATTTCTTTGGTCAGTTTATGCAGATGGTAGTATATGTTTGGATATTCTTCAGAATCGCTGGAGTCCAACATATGATGTTTCCTCAATTTTAACCTCAATACAGGTATGATATGTCTGCACTTATTTCTGCTTTTTTGCACAAACTACAGGGTTCAAACACAGTATGGAAAAATATAAAATTTTATTTTAGTATTTTTTAATCTCTGGATAAGTATGGAAAAAAGAAAACAATATGGAGAAATGTTTGTGTTTCCAGACTGTTGCCCCATTCTGTTTCCTACAGTATGAAATTGAGAATTTCTAAAAAAATTATTATTTTATTATTATTTCTATTCAGGTGTCACCATTGCCCTGTGCTTGGCAGATTTTTTGTCTCACTCCATTCCTGATGGATCATTTTGCAATGAAAAGCACTTTTTTATAATTAAAGAAACAAATTTGTATGTCTTATAAGTAATTAAAACAAACATTCAAATTAAATTTTTCTTCATTAGTGCTGTCAACAGTTCCACTACTTCGGTACAAAGTCAATACTGAAATTTAAAAAATGTAATGATACCAGCCATTCTGCAGGAAAGGTGGTACGTGTGATCGCTCTGGCCAATCAGACGTGTTTAAGTTAGTGAGAATACTCTCAATACTGCTCAGAATGATGGAGTTTTTATTCAGCACACACTTAAAGTTCTGTGTGGTTTCATTATAACCAACAAAATGTAAATAAGAGATTCATTGTGCAGTGTAGATGTATTCATTGATTATAACTGGAGTTTTTGCAAGAGTGCAGACTATTTAAATGCGGGACTGAATCTGAAATGGCAATGATTGTCTTGGTGTGATAACCATAGTAGTGGATCGGGCAAAAAAATAGATAACTTATAGACTTGCCACTTGTTCTATATAATATATTTGTTTATTAATTTTATTACAAACTTTTCACTTGACCTTTATAAAGCAATGTTTAATTAATTGAAAAATATTTTGAAGACTACATGCTACAAATATTTTTGCTTTTGTACCGAAAACAAGTGAAATTTTATTGGTACCGACTACTGAAATTTCGGTACTATGACAACACTGGTTTGTAGTAGTTGGAGAGTATCAAATTGTAAATTCATATTGTGAATTTGACCTTTAATCGTTACACCTTTAATAATTAATTTTTCATAATATTGTCTGAAAACCTACAGAGAAGCTTTTTTTGAGTCTGGAAAAGTATGGAATTTTGAAATTGGAAAATGTGTAGGAACCTGAAACTAAATGTTTTAATTAGCATGATTTTAGCTTGAAACTCTTCTTTATGCCTTTTTGATAGTACTGTAAAAATGTGAGGACATTATTCAGGTTGTTAACATGCCTTTCATTGTCAGTCTTTACTGGATGAGCCGAACCCAAACAGCCCTGCTAACAGCCAGGCAGCTCAGCTGTATCAGGAAAACAAGAGAGAGTATGAGAAGCGTGTGTCGGCCATTGTGGAACAGAGCTGGCGTGACTGTTGACCCTCCTTACAGTTCACATATGAACAATAGTCCGCCTCGCCAACAAGAGGAAAACCACCTTGCAAAGAATAAAATAAAACACATCATGTTTTGAATCATTCTCCATGTACTCTGTGGAATTGTCTGTTCTGTAGCTGTTGCAGGATTAGAGTGATGTTGTGTTGTGGTCTCCCTCTTCATGCAGAACCTTATCCTAGATGAGGATGAACCTTAGTTTAACAAAATATTGTTGCTAGGGTTACTTGCTTTTATTTGGCCTGTCCTCATTTTTGTCATCTTATTTCTTTGGTTTTATAAGTTGCTCCTACACTGTGGGCTGATTTCATTTTGGGTATTAACATGTTGGTTGAGAGTGATTTCTTTGCGTCTGCAAAAGTGTCATACCGAATGTCGCTTAATGTGTCTTTCAGAGTTCCAAATTAAACTGCAAGAACATTAAAGATGGATGATATATGGTCTTTTACGGAAAGCTTAGATGTTTCAGAAACATGCCTTTATAACTGCACTTGGAAAACCTGACCTTTTAAAACCAGCTTGAAAATTGTAATGTGCCAAATGTTGGAATTGGCCCTTTTTTATCAAGTGCAAGTACTTTGTTCTTTTAATTAAGCAGTTCATGTGTTGCCTATTGACACTGTGTGCCAGTTTGTCAGCAGTAATTGTTCGAAGGTACACAGTGATCTGTCTGTCCCACAAAGCCCCATGCCTAAGGCCTGGGAGTCAGAATATTACAAATTGGCATAGAGTGTGTTGCTTCTCCCTCCCTCCCTGTATTCATTATTTTGTGTCTTGCACCCCAGATGCATTGTTATTTTGCTTGTTTTCTTAAGTTCCATTAAAGTGCCATTTATTTTTACATTAAATTGCTTCTCCAAACATATGGATGTGATGCTGTCATGCAGTATCCATTTAAGCTAATCTTAATTTTTCTAATTTACCAAGTGTCGGATTTGCACTAGTAACCCATGTAAGAAACTGTATATTTTCTCAATTCTTGTAAATAAACAGTAAAATTAACTCTATGGTGTTTGTTCTTGAACAAAGATAAGCATTTACATTTCATTAAATGAGCTAGAAAATGAACAATGACCAGACTAAATTTAATGTGTCAGTACAAGCAGACTGGTTGACAGTATTCGCAATAGCAAACTTCACAGGGATTGCTGTTCAGGCATTTGCCAGACAGGGAGTTGAAAGATTTAAGGTTGAGATAAATATTGAATTCTACAATCAACAACCAGAAAATGACAAAAAAAATATATACTGTTTTGTAATTACTTAAAGGATATTTTTATATTTCAAGTGTTTATCTTACAACAGATGAAAGACCGAGTGAATGATATCTTGTCCATTATGAATGTCATTTCAGAGAAGAGCACATGCTGCCATAAGGCCCCACTACTAACATCCATACCAATAAATATAATTCACAGGATTTATATGACAAAAGTTAAGTTAGTAACATGTGTTCATCATATGGTCTTGATCTAACCTATGACAAATCTCAACAAAGTGTACAGAAATACATGGTAAAGAGAGGCAAAGGGTACACAACACTGTAGTCATTGAGAACTGACAGGTTTTCCAGGCTTTTTAAAAAATATATTTTACACTCTTCGGAAACAAATTAAAGGAAAAGTAACAAGTAACACCACTTTGCTTTTATTAATGGTCATCTGTTGGTTTCTCAGAGGCCTGCTGAGCCTAGTCATTGTGAAGCCTGAGGTTTCACCAGTTCATATCGTCCCACCTGCCCCTCCTGCAATAGCTGACCAATCAGCTGTTCCTTCTGAACTCTGCGGCTAACCACGAGGAAGCGCTGTCGGCTCTGTCCGTATGATTTGCTGCGCAGCCCATATCTTTGGGATACTTGGTGTATCTGCCTGCGCTCTTCATTGTTAAGCTCTGTGGAGAAGCGCAGGTCATCTTGACGGTCTGAACTCGCATAATTCCGAATTATTTCCTCAATATCACGCTTAGTCAGCTGATTACTGTGCCTGTCCATGTCCATACCGAGTCCTTCCCTGGTAAACTGCTCTTTGACCTTGATGGGTTCAGCAATGCCCTCTCCTTCTCTACCCAAACCACCACCTGTCCAGCCCATCTTACGGAGTAGCTGGTTACCAATGTTGTCCTCCTTGATCTCCTGCCGCATGGATTCCTCTCCAGAACGAGCCATGATTTGATTTCGGGAAATTGCATCCACGTGGCCCTCTTTCCTGAGGTTGGACTTCACCACAGCTTGTGTGCGCCGAAGTGTGGCGAGGGCCTCCTCTGCTGCAATGTGCTTCACTGTCTTTTTGGGTCCAAGGCCAGCAGCCACATACTGACCATCGAGGTAAACTTCACACCTCCAGCGATGGTCTGGCAGAACCGTAAACTTGTAGTCAGCAAGCACTTTATTAAATTGAGCAGTGTCATTTATTATGCAAATAGCGTTATCAGAGTTTTCAAGGATGACCAATTCACCTAGCTGTGCTTTCTTGTTGCTTTGCTGGGCGTAGCGACTGCCAGGCTGGTCTGTAGTGTGGTTGCCTCCAGAAAAATTCTGCTGCTGTTGCTGCTCTTGTTGACGAGCAGCCTGGTTCATTCGCAACTTCCTTACTGCCGCCTCTGCCGCTGCATGTTTTGAGCTCTTCTTGGTCCCTCTGGCTTCTGCCACCAGCTCGTCCTGTAAATACACACTACAGAGCCATAAATTGCTGTTGGGAACCGGGTCAAAAGTGTAATCAACTTTCATGCGGTTGAACGCAGCCGAGTTGTTGAGTATACAGATGGCATCATGTGCGTTCTCCATGATTACAAATTCTGTCCAGTGTTTGCTTCGGTCAGGCTCATACTGGCCCTTGGTACTAGGGAGTGGCTTGTCCTTGGGGTTGCGAAGAGGTGGGGGTAGGATTGGGTTTGGAGTGTGAACCTGGCACACCACCATATCATTAACGTAAGTATGCTTGTACAGCCGTTGCAGGACACGAATTTCCACCGGCCTCATGAACAGCTTGACGGCCTGTTCTGACGCTCGGTCTCTGGCACCGTTTTTGCTTCCAGAGTACCCTGTGGCAAGGTACACAGACTGACACCTAAGTTCACATGCATATCCTTCAGAGGGTACTTTTCTGTTTTTAGGAAGGTCAGCGGGTGGAATATCTCTTAAATTAACATAGATGTACTCTGGGTTCGTCTTGCAAGCCTGAATGCTGCGGCTGAGTATGAAATTGTAGTTTGGCATGTCTGGTCCACTCATGAACGCAGGATCTCTCAGGGTAATGGCAACGGCTGATGATACTCTGGTAATCAGCCTCTGTTTTTCGTCAATTGTTGATGTGGGGATAGATAACAGCAGTGAGGGTGTTGGGAGAAGGCCAGAGCCGCCTCTGCTTGGACCGTCGTATAACCTGCTGAAAGCCTTGCTGGACGTCGGTCTATCCTGGTGTCCAAATCCCAGTCCATGCCGTCCACTATCCCAGGCTCCAGACCGTCCAGCACTTCCGTATCCATTAGCTCGGCCTGCATGTGAGAATGAGTCCGATTGTCTGGCAGTATGCGCCTCATATCTAGCGGTGTACTCCTGTTGCACCTTGCCCATGAAGTTCGGGGTGGACCCTCTGCTGCCATAGCCAAGCCCACTTGTGCCGCCCGAGGCCACATCCTTACTTCTGTGCTCAGGCAAAGAATCATAACCATACCGGTTACCATTATACGGCTGATGATCTGGTTCCCTTTGTCTTACGTCATTCATCTCACCCCTCCTGCGCTCCTTCTCGTTTTCCTTTTCATCAGTTTCTCCAATTCGACTGCCACTGCTTCCGCCACTTACAAAGTGTACTGGTTCAAATCGAGGTCTGGATGTGAATTTTGACAAAGGCATCTTCCTCATGGGCTCTTCACCTGAGATATGAAATCAAATATGATTAAAATATCCATTTACATGCAAATGATTACTCAATGTTATTTTGTTTAAATGCTGAATAAAATATTTACATTTTATATATTTGATGCAAAACACCCACAGAATAACTTTTCAATGCTGTGATATATGGATAGGTAGATGGATAGGAAGACTGACCGATCGATAAACAGACAGATAGATTGATTTCAAGCATTGATAGACTTACTTCCACCAGATGAATATAGCCTCTTTTTTGCTTCAACGTTTGGAACTAGTTCATATGAGGGCATTTTGCCAACATCAATCCCTTCTGCCATCTCAAGCACCTTGTGCATCAGTTGGGAGCCATACCTGCCCAAAAAAAGAACAGTCATATTGTTGACAACATGCTTTGGTTGGCATTACTAATGTATAACTTTGCAATTAAGATGGTCTGTATAAATATGACACAAAATAAACTTTGCCCAGGACTCTTGTGATATTAGTATTCACTCAAACTCCCGCCAAAAATAGTTAAACAGCCCAATTCTCACGTCCTATTCAATCTAATCCCCACCTGCATCCCAGGAAAACATGGTTAACCCAGACCATCGACAGGGCCAGTAGCTTATCAAGAGCATTTCCCTCGTACTCTTCAATGTGTTTCACAATGAACTGACGTCTAGCGGACCAATGCTTGTCACTCTCGTACTGCTGACGGCAATCATCGATATTACAGTTCCAATAACGAAGACCAGCAGGTTTACTTAAAAAACACGGGCCCGTTGAATGAGGTCTGATCATCCCGGTGTCTGACGATAGCCAGTAGCTAACCGGAAACAACGTAGTGCGCGCAGTGTATGCTGGGAAGTTCACACGACCCAATAAAATTATAATACACCCAATGCAGAAAAGAATACGTAAACTAGCCAATGCTTATAACAATCACGCAATTGTTACTTAGATGTATAGAGTCAGATGCTGAGTGTTACTGAGTGGTTTGCGTAACAAACAATATTCTCTGATCTGTATTTGCCCAGCATATTTACTATGACATTTGACAACATGAGTACAGACCTCGCAACAGTCTGTCCTACAGATTTACAGCAATTTAAGCGATATCTCTTGTATTTTCAATAGCACAACCGCAACTCTTTAAAGTACAGCGTTCGTCAAATATGCACTTCGGAACACGTTTGTTATTTTCCCTTATGGTTAAGCTAACCAATAGTTTCAGTGGGATTAAACTGAAAGTGACGCAGTAGCATCTTCATTCTCTCAAACGGTTCTTCATCGCCGCTTTGTCATGCTTATCCGCTTTTAAAGTGAACTACGCGACGATGTAGGCTACACGAATGCATAGCATGACACTAAGTGAAGCTTACCTTTGTCATACAGCAGCTCTGTTTAGGTGACCTTGAGTGTGAATTCAGACGCACAAGCAAATATGCAGCAAATTGACACTGCTAAAGCTAATCCACTGCTGCAACCAGGAAAAGATTCATTCATTCATTCAGAATCGGCGACTCAATCGTTATCACCAGTGACACTCACTGCTTTAATCTGTTAATAGATGATAAACATTCATAACACCCATTTAACAATACCTGCTTATTTGATCTGAAGTCAGTTATATATATATATATATATATATATATATATAGGCTACATACAGTATTCTAACAATATATATAATTTACTATTATAGTGTAGTAATACTGTTAGGATGATAAATATTATATTATATATAATAATAATAATAATTAACTGCTTCACTGCTCCCCTGCATATATATAAAGTCATGATGAAGGATGAGGAAAGACTTTGGTAGTGGTCCAAATAACAGTCCAATGTTTATTCATTTCCACCATCACCACAGTCAGAAAAACAAAAACAAAATACGATTTAATATAATTATAATACATTTAAAGTTGTTCGTTACTCCTTTATATTTTACATTCACATACAAAAAGAAACGGAAACATTATTAATCTGAGATCCCATGATAAAGGCAGAAGAAATAAACATTACATCAACAGCATCAGACCAACACTTGATTTCAGTGTCAGTGAGTTCATCTTAGTGTACAAGGCTTTTAGCCCATGTTTAAC